TAGGAGGACAGGACACACCAGGAATTCTCTGGTAAGATAAGGCCATGTAGAAATACATACATTAGTAGTTATGGGTCAATAATTAAGGCAGAGCTAGCCAGTAAGAAGCCCTAGTCATTGGCCAACAGTTTTATAATTAATACAGTGTCTGTGTATTCATTTGAGGCTGAAGCAGCTGGTCCTGGTGGGGCAAGAAAACTACAGCTACTCTCTCTCTCTCTGTCTCTCTCTCTGTCTCTCTCTCTCTCTGTATATTTCTCTGTGTATGTGTGTGTGTGTGTGTGTGTGTGTGTGTGTGTGTGTGTGTGTGTGTGTGTTTGCATGAGGACAGGTTCTCTCAGAGTCTGTAGAAAGATGTCAGATCCCAGTTACAGGCAGCTGGGAACCACTGGAAGTGGGTGCTGGGATTTGAACTCAGGTCTTAATGCAAGAGCAGCATCCGTTCTCAGCCACTGAGCCACAGTTCCAGCCCCCACCTCATAGGTCTTTCAACGCTTACTGAACTTCTCTCCAGCACCTTCTCTATTTAAAAATGTCTGTAAAACGATGGACTGCTTTGGCATGCTGGCGCAGGCTTGAGGTGACAGCTGAGCCAGCCACTGGGCCTCACGCTTCCATCTGTGAAGTAGGAATGGCCACACATTCCTCACTGCCTCACCACCAGGGTTGCTGGACCCTGCAAAGCCCCCGCACACAGGCCAGCATCGCACACACTCCCTGACCCCACCACCACCATCACCAGTGTCACAACACCCTCAGATAGAATGGAGCCCTGAGGCACAAGTCACTTGCTTGTTTGTGGGACCAGCAGCTGGGACACACATTGGGAAAAGATCCTTTCCCTCTTGTCCCATTTGCCTGCCTGTCAGTTCCAGGCATTGACCTGGTCTGACAAATATTGACCAGGCTGCTGTGGTCTTCAAACACTATTGCTCTGTGGATAGGAGGCTGTGTGGAGCTGGGTCCACCTGGGTGACTTCTCTGTGAGTATGCACTATACCCAAATGGAGTTAGGCCTCTGTCGTTCCGTCTGTCTGTCTGTCTGTCTGTCTGTCTGTCTGTCTATCTATCGCTGTTGGCTTTAAAGGCAGAAATGGGCAGTAAGTCCCCTGGATGTCCCTGCTGAGTGCTGCCTCTGAATCTTAAAGCTAGAGCCTCAGGTTTTCAGTCACCTTCTCTAGAAAATGCAGTCACTGGGAACCGTGACATACAAACTCCCAATACCATTAGCAAGTCAATAAGGAACCTATACTAAGAACTCAATTATGGCAACAGGTCCCGGGCACAGAAGCCCAGGTCTGGAATCGTGCCTTGCCTCAGTTTCCCTATATGCACACCTGGGTTAAGAGTCTCTGTGGCTGGAGGGTCTCAGGAGCATTGATTTAAACAAAAGAGAGCAAAGACACCACAGGAACGTGGTTTATGCTTGGCATTTCAGTAGCTTCCAGATGTTCACATCTCAGCTGGGAAACAAAAGCAATACCTCACCTTCCAGTCATTGATAAGACCTGGGATGCCACCCACTCTCACCCTCTGTCTGCAGACCAGTGATGCAATGTGCCCGATGCACCCAGCACTTCAGCAAACATTTCGAAATGAGAAGGTTTATAATTCAGGAACAGAGTTCTGACTTTTCTCGGAGAATCTGCCTGGAGACCGAGTTAAGTGCACTGGATTCCTATTGCACCAAGCCTTGGGAGAAGTGTGAGACAATCTCCTGCAGTGTCTTTCCCACACACTGAGACTTTGCATGTCAGACGACATAAATCAGGAAAGGGGGTGGCATTGCTATTTGAACTTGGCAAAAGGAGGTCCTGAATTGCAGAGACAGTAGCGCATGGTGAGTAACTGCGGAGCCCTAGTTCAATCCCAGGCTATGTACAGTAGCCCTGACTACAGTTCAGTCTTCCTTGGGAGTCACCTTCTGTGAGTCACCTTCGGGGTGCAGCAGGGTAGGGAAAGGTGCTGAGTTCAATGACCATGAATGGTTCCCTCACCACCTCTGCCCTTACTTTAGCAAGGGCAGACCAATGATTCGGTTATTTTTACATCTTCCAGTTTTCCTATCTAGGGAAAGTCCCAAGCACGCAGAACTTCCCTTCATCTACGTACATGGAGCTGGTGCTGCTGGGAGGCTGTGACTTCGGGATATGTCTGCCATGACTTAATGTGTTTCGCCATAGCACTCCCCTTCTGAGAGCAGGTGGCTATTGTAATTTGGCAGGCATTCTGAGAGCCAGGGGCAGTTCAGGGCTCCCCCCCCCTTACCACTCCAGCAGCTGACACATGGGCCAAAGGTACAGAAGGTATTGATCACAATGTAGATGCCTTCAGGACAAGCTAGAGTCAAGGATCAGCTTGTAGCTACTGACTGTGTCATTTTAAAAAATGTAAGGGCTTGTTTGTAGGGGCAAAGGAGGCTATCAGGGTCCAGAAGAATACAGGCTGGGGAGGAAGGATATTTCCTCTGCATGGCTGTGGGGGTGGGAGACACCTGTAAAGGAAAAGGGGGAAGGAGATGCAAAGTGGGGTGAGCCCAGCTTTGTCTACACAGCAGGCTCCTCTCCCCCCCAACCCCCCCCCCGCACTCAAGCCAAGGTTCTTCCAGCTCCTGCCTCTCTTGGAACCTCGTGGAGGTGACCCAGGGCTATTCTGGCGTGTTCCATAACTGAAACTGGAGCAGAAGACATTTGGCATTTGCCTGCAGTGGGCTGCCTCTGTACACAGGAGCTGGGGTTTAAACAGACACTTTTGCCTTGCGCTTCCAGAAGTTCAGGGTCACAGTCAAGGCAAAAACTCATTCCAGGTCCTCCCTGGGACCTTCAGCATTTTGTGGTTTGCAGCAGTGTCTCGTTTCTGCCTTCATCTTCCCCAATATCCTCCTTGGGTGCTTCTCAGAATCCAAAGTCCCCTTCTTTCAAGGACAATAATCGCATGGGGTTAAAAACCTACTTTACTTGTCACATTTAATTATATCTGTAAGGACTTCATTTCTTTTCCTTCCTTTCTTCCTCCCTTTCTTCCTTCCTTTCTTTCTTTTTTTCTTTTGAGACAGGATTTCTCTGTGTAACCTTGGCTTTCTTGGAACTTGTTCTGTAGACCAGGCTGGCCTCGAACTCATAGAGATCTGCCTGCCTCTACCTCCCAAATGCTGGGGCTAAAGGGGTGTGCTGCCACTGCTCAGCCAAGAACTCAATTTCTAAGCAAAGTAGCATTATGAATCCTTAGGGTTTGGGAACTAAGCATATAAATTTTGGACAGGCACAACTCAATCTATGACAGATCTTTCCAAAACCCCTGTGTCCATACACATGGGTGTTTCTGTTGCTACACACAGTGTAGGGGTACTCCTGCATCCATACACACAGGTCTTTCTGTGAGTGCACACAGCATAGAAGGTACCCCTGCATCCATGCACATGGGTTTCCATCACTGCACACAAGATGAATGGTACCCCTGCATCCATGCACATGGGTGTTTTCATCACTGCACACAGTGTGGATGGTACCCCTGCATCCATGCACATGGGTTACCATCACTGCACACAGTGTGGATGGTACCCCTGCATCCATGCACATGGGTTACCATCACTGCACACAGTGTAAATGGTACCCCTGCATCCATGCACATGGGTGTTTTCATCACTGCACACAGTGTGGATGGTACCCCTGCATCCATGCACATGGGTTACCATCACTGCCCACAGTGTAAATGGTACCCCTGCATCCATGCACATGGGTTTCCATCACTGCACACAAGATGAATGGTACCCCTGCATCCATGCACATGGGTTACCATCACTGCACACAAGATGAATGGTACCCCGGCATCCATGCACATGGGTGTTACCATCACTGCACACAGTGTAAATGGTACCCCTGCATCCATGCACATGGGTTTCCATCACTGCACACAGTGTGGATGGTAACCCTCTATACTCGCACACAAGTGTTTCTGTTTCTGCAGGGGTGTGGAGATGTGGAGATAAAGCACATATCTCTTTCAGGTCTCTTCTCGGGAGCCATAGGTCCTGTTACTTTCCTCACAGGTAAGGTCTCAATGGTAGAGGACCCCTTTCCTTGGGGTCTAAAGGAGGCATTGTACACCACCTTCTTCCTTGCAACTGACTGAACTAACCCACATCTACACTCAAGGGGCCCAGCATCACCCATGTTCATGTAGAACATTTATTCTACCACGTCCTCTTCATTTCTAATGAATTTTACATAAGCATCTGCCTAGCCCAACACTGGATATTGCCTCAACTCTGCCCTGTTTCAGTGGTTCTCAACTTGTGGGTCAAGACCCCTTGCATCATAATCAGATATTTATATTACAAATCATAACAATAGCAAAATTACGGTTGTGAAATAGCAATGAAATAATCTTATAGTTTGGGGCCACCATAGGATAAGGAACTGTATTGAAGAGTTGCAGCATTAGGTAGCTCTAAACTCTAAGTCTTGGGACTATGCTAATTTTTTCTTTGTAATATACGCAGTGCCTAACATACCTTTAGAGCTGATGGAGCCTTGGACATTATATATGATTTAAAAAACAACTGGGTCCAAAAGAAATCCATAAAAGTTAAAATGGAAGAACAGGAGAGAGAGAAGGAAGGAAGGAGGAGGGATGGGAAGAAATAAGAGATAAAGATGGAAAAGTGAGAAGAGAATAAAGTGGAGAAAGAAGAGGGAGGGAAGGAATAAAGAAGAGAAAGAGGAGGAAGGATGGAGGAAAGGAGAGAGGAGGAAGGGATGGGAAGAGAGAAGGAGGAGGGAGAGAAGGAGACAGAGAAGAAGGCAGGAAGGCAGGGATGGGTGAAGAAGCCTGGATTGCAGGATCTATTTTCCAGCTAGAGTCTAAGTTGGCCCCCTTTCCCTTCCTCTCTGCAGTGAAGTAAGGGATTAGGCATGGGTGGTGGTTTCATTGTAAACTCTGGGGGTGATGGGTATCATCTATGAAGAGGACGAACATCTTCTCCATCTTCTTTTCAGATAATGGGGTCATTTTGGCTGTGGCTGATAGTAACCGAGGTCCTGCTCCCTGTACCTTGTCAGCCATTTCCTGCCCAAGGAGAGAAGAGTCTGGGGGTGCCTCAACCAGCCAGTCCCCAGCTCCTGGAGCCAGCACCCGCCTATCACAAGGTCACTCCCACCATCACTAATTTTGCTTTGCGTCTATACAAGCAGCTAGCAGAGAAGGTACCCGGAAACGTGCTCTTCTCCCCCGTGAGCCTCTCTAGCATTGTGGCTCTTCTCTCTCTTGGGGCATCTGCTGACACCCAGACTCGGATGCTGGAGAGCCTGGGCTTCAACCTCACGGACACCCCAGCCCCTGACATCCACCGGGGCTTCCAGAGCCTCCTGCACACACTTGACCTGCCCAGCTCCAAACTGGAACTGAAAGTGGGACATTCCCTGTTCCTAGACAGGCAGCTGAAGCCTCAGCAGCACTTCCTGGACAGCGCCAAGGAGCTGTACGGAGCGCTGGCCTTTTCTGCCAACTTCACGGATGCAGGTGCCACAGGGCAGCAGATCAATGACTTGGTGAGGAAGCAGACCTACGGGCAGGTGGTGGGATGTCTCCCAGAGTTTGGCCATGACACCTTCATGGTTCTCTTGAACTACATCTTCTTCAAAGGTGAGACTCCTCTGACAGAAATATTACCCTTTCTGTAAGTAACTGTTCTGTTTTCACTGGCTGGTCAGGGGCTTGCCACTCATGGATAAGATATTTCCCCTACTCTTGTGTATTTCATGTCCCCTGTGGATTGCAAGTAAGGAAAGAGAAATCACAGTTCAAGGGAATGTTGCAAACATGGGCCATAGAACTCCCAGCAGAGACCCTGGATTAAGGCATGACTTCCCAGAAAAGGGAACATTTAGTTCAGGACGGTGGCACATTAGCGGGAGGCTGAGGCAGGAACATCCCAATTGGACATCAGTCTGGATTACACAGAGAGGCCTTGCCTCAAATGCATAAATGAAAGAAAGAATGGATGAACAAATGAATGGAGGGCTGAGGAGACAGCCCCATGCGTAAGCGATCCTCTTGCCTCACAGCTTTCCCAGTGGTGACACTGCAGGTGGGGGCCACCATCCCCAGCTTGAAGCTCCTCACAGACGCTGAGGCACATAGTCAGATGATTTGCCTCCGCGCTCCCACATAACCTGAGCTGTGCTGTCAGGATCAGGCTGCCAACCGCAGCTCACACCACCATGGCTCTGGAAACCAGGGTGTGTCAATCAGTTCACACCTACTACATTCCAAAGAGCGCGCTCTCACTCGTCCTGATGACTTAAGTCATGCTCACTCTTTGTGTCTTCACATCACGCATTTCCAACCCATTTGCTTCCTGAAGTCTTGTGTCTTAAGAGAGTTCTTCAGGGGCTGGAGAGACAGCTCGATGGTTAGGACCGCTGGCTGCTCTTCCAAGGACCTGGATTCAATTCTTAGAACAGGCTTACAACTGTTTACTCCATGTCCAGGGAGATCTGATGCCCTCTTCTGGCCCCCTTGGGCACTGCACATACGCGGTGACTAGACATACAGGTAGGCGAACACTCTACACATAAAATAAAAGTAAATCTTTCCTAATAGAGAGAAATAAGGCTTTATGCAAGGAAGGCAGGGCCACCCTGTGTCTGCTTTATAAGGAAATTCTCTCAGTATAGCGTAACCATAGGTCACTGAGTTCTGATGCTAGGGACACAAGGCCCTCCTGGCTTTGGGCCCTGCTACTTCCGACACACTCGCGAGGACATCATCACCCTGCATGGCCTTGTGGAGGCTTCCCTGAATTGCGGTCCTGCCCTCGTGTTCATTTGTGCCCTCAGCCAAGTGGAAGCATCCTTTTGATCGCTACCAGACCCGGAAGCAGGAGAGCTTCTTCCTGGACCGGAGGACGGTGCTCCGCATCCCTATGATGCGGCAGAAGGAAATGCACAGGTTCCTGTATGACCAGGAAGCATCGTGCACTGTCCTTCAGATTGAGTACAGCGGCACAGCCCTGCTGCTGCTGGTCCTCCCTGACCCTGGGAAGATGCAGCAGGTAGAGGCCTCCCTCAAGCCAGAGACGCTGAGAAGGTGGGGCCAGCGGTTCCTGCCCAGGTGAGTGCCCCAACGTGCTGTCTGTCCTTGCTCAGGAGACGGGGTAAGGTTGATCAACTCCAATCCCAAGATCCATCTGCTGGGTTTGCCTCACCATCTCACCCTCGACTTCACAGTGGTTTCCCCACATCTTTGGGGCTCAGGTTTCTTTGAGTGTTAAGATAAGGACACGGTACCTACTGCATGGACGTGGGGGTGGGGATGAATGGAGATAGTACGTGAGTACTTAGGCAGGTACTAGAATACAAGTGCTGTGTTTATTATCCCTCCTTGGGGTCCTTCTGGCCAAATCTCCTTTCCCTTACTTCCCTCTATTTTCTAATAATTTAACACCATGAAATAGCTAAGTCTGCCAAAAAAATAAGATCAGAACAACTATTAAAGATGACCATGATTCCCACAGAACAGTGCATATGTTTTAAAACAGTGCTTTTAAAAAACATTTGGAAAGAATTGGATAAATCAACACCAGGAAAGCCAGATCTGGTGGGACAGGCCTGTAACCCCAGGTCCCTGGGAGGCAGGTGGATCACAAGCTACAGAATGAGTTCAAGGACAATTTGGTGAGACCTTGTCTCAAGATTTAAAAACAACAACAACAATAAAAACAGAGGTGGGTAGACTGGGAGTGTAGGTCTGGTGTGGACTACTTGCCTAGCATGCATAAGGCTCTGGGTTCAATATAGGAAGAAAGAAAGAGAAAGAGGAAGGAAGGGAGAGATGAGAGGAAAGGGAAGCAAGGAAGGAGGGAGGAAGAGAGATGGAGGGAGGTCCTTCCTTCCACAACCCCTGACCTACCCCCTGTCATCTTCCTTGCAATTGGTTTACAGTTTTCCAACTTCAATTTTAGCTTTATCTAGTTTCCCTCATCTCCATTCACTGACTAACCCCTTCTTGTGGGGGGTGGGATCTGCCTTTATGGCATGGTCTGGAATAAAATCTGGTTGTGAGTTCTAGTTATCTTTGCTGCAGAACAGGCTAGCCCAAACCAAGCAGCTTTAAAAAACCCGTGAGCACTCTTGGTCCTCTTCACGGAATGGACTCAGCTAGGCAGTTCTCACTCACTGGGGTCAGGTGGCAGCAGAGACACAGGCACAGGTTTCTGCCTTTGAGTTTCTGGGGCCCGGGCTGGCTTCTTTCTGACAACACAAGGCTGGCTTCAGAGAGCATGTCAGTATAATTGACATTGCTATGTAGCAGCTCATGATTCCCAGAGGAAATGTACAGAAGGACAGGACTCTTTAAGGCATGGGCACACCCATGAGTGCTGTCATTTCTATCATAGCCAGTTGGCCAGAGCAGCCCCAGATCTCTGGGGGTGTGCTTTTAACCCAGAACAATGTGGTGGGTACCCGTCTCTCTTCACACCCACAGATTTTCCTCTCAGCACCGCATCATGCTGCAGTACCAAGAGTAGAGGAAGAATGCTTTGTATTTGGGCAGAGATTAAGACACCAGTGAATGAATGAATAAGAAAGTCGTAGTCAAGAGGAAAAGCCAGGGTTAAGTAGCTACCTGAGTTCGTAAAGCTCCTGTCGGTTCATGGTTCCAACTGTGTAGTCTTGCTCCTCTAGGATGAGCCTCCCTACAGGAGGAAGGGCCATAGAACCTTCTAGACAGTAGGTTTTCTCCCAAGAATGGTGTCTTAGTCAGAGTTACTATTTGCTATGATGAAACGCTTGGACCGTTCTCATGTCACTGTTCACCATTGAGGAAGCCAGGACAGGAACTCAAGCAGGGCTGAAACCTGAAGGCAGCAGCTGATGCAGAGGCCATAGAGGGGAGCTGCTTACTGTCTTGCTCCTCGTGACTTGCTCAACCTGCTTTTTTATAGAACCCAGGGCAACCAGCCCAAGGATGGCACCACCCACAGTGGACTGGCCTTGACAACATTAATCTAAACTGAGTTCTTTACAGATGGGATATTCCCAAGTGGATTGGTTATTAGCCAGACAATTTTACAGAGCCCTGGTAATTAGTGTCATTGAAAAAGGGTAGATTACCTCTAAGCTAAAAGAAAGTTCTGCATTCAGCCCTGGCAGCATGGCAATCTGATGGTGAGGATGGGAGTTTCAGTCTTTGGGTTCAGGACTCCTGAGCCCTCTCTCTAGATCACTGGTTCTCAACCTTCCCAATGCTGTGACCCTTTAATACAGTTCCTCATGTTGTGGTGACTCCAACCCATAAAACTATTTCTGTCACTACTGCATAACTGTAATGTTGCTACTGTTGTGAATATTAATATTAACATTTTTCGGAGGCTTGCCCAAGGGGTCAGGGACCACAGGCTGAGAACCACTGCTCTGGATGCTTGCTGCAGCCCAGGGAGTTGGCATCTCTGTGCCGTCAGGTGGAAGAAGGTGATGGAGGCTCGCATTGGGGCAGTGTCAGTAAATAAACTTAGGATACAGTTGGGAAACTGAGCCTAAAGCAGCTGCAGCTGACTCAGATGTGGGGGTGGGTGGGAAGAGCACATGGTATTTACTCTACCTGGTATCGCGTGGATTCAGTCAGCGGAGTCTTGGGAAATTCTGGTTAGTGTCTGGCACCTGGAACGCTCTCCACAAACACAAGGACAGTGATGGAGACAGACTCCTCTGCCAGGAAACTTCTCAGATCCAGTCACGAATCACCGTGAGGCCTATGTAGAGAGAGATTTGGGAGGGTGTTGGTAATGGAATAGTCCACCATAGCCAATCACATCACAGGAAGATTGATTATCCCACAAGCTGGGGTACCCTGCTCTTTCTTGAGGCTCAGGCTGCAACACACCACAGGACAGTACCTTTTCTCTGATTCCCCCTCTAGTCTGTTGGATTTGCACCTGCCAAGGTTCTCAATTTCTGCATCCTACAACCTGGAAGAGATCCTGCCCCTCATTGGTCTCAGCACCATGTTTGACGTGGAAGCTGACCTATCAGGAATCATGGGGCAACTCAACAAAACTGTCTCCAGGGTAAGGCAGGGAGGGTGGGCGTGGAGAGGAGGGATATTTCTCTTCCCACGGGAAGTGCATTGGGAAACCAAGGTCCCCCAGTCTTTTTCCTAGACTGCAGATTCTATTCACAGACAACCCCAATTTCATCTCCCCTACCCTAGATTTACACTCATCAGGGCAGAAACATAGGGTTATAAGTAGAACAGTAATCATTTGAAGTCATCCACAGGGCCAGAATCATGCCAGGTTAGAGGTAGCATTCCTTTATTTCGAATACTTCCTCTTCAGGCACCTGGAGCTCTATCTGTCTTTGTTGCAGCTGAAGAAAGTAATAGAGTATGTCTAGGAGATGTAGTGGTCAGCATTGCTACAGTAACGAGCATCCCCTAGATCCCAGCACACTACCACAACAGGCTTATTGTGAGAATTCCCAGAGGAGATGTAAACCATATCTACCCATTCTCCTTTAGGTCCCACAGCAGCATAAAGTATGATTCCATCCAAGTTCATTCATCCTGGGGAGCCATTGAGTTCATTAGACTTACTTACAGGGTGTGGCTGAGGGGTTCCTGGCAGGAGACTTGTATACCTCAGCTATCTTTCACAGACCCCTTTTGGAGATAGAAGAACTCTCCAACTTCTTTTGAAGTCTAAATTCTTTCTTGTTAGGAAGTTGTGTAAAAACGAGACTTCTAATGTTCTGTGCTTAGGGCAGCGTGGGGCTCTGTTCCACCCTCCTCATTTAGAACCTGCTATTGACCACAAGCCATTTTTAAGATGAGAAGACAGAGGAAGTTTAGAGAGGGTAGGTAAAGTTCAAAGAAGCCTGTGCTCTGTGTACCTGCTGGACTTGAGGCTACCCAGCACTTAGCTCCTCAGCTGGGCCCAGGCTGCCTCATGTCAGGGAACTTGGCCTAGGGAAGGGGCATCAGTACAGAGGCGGTGGGCGGTGGGAGAGGGGTGACATATAGAAGTTGGAGTTGTTTCTTAGACAGCCTAGACCTGAGGGGCCTGAACAGGCTCTAAGCCATTGTCCAAGGGTTACAGGTGGCCTCTGCCCTCAAGGGATAGATGAGTGCTGACTCTGTCCGTTTTCTCTCCTAGGTGTCACACAAGGCTACAGTGGACATGAATGAGAAGGGAACGGAGGCCGCAGCTGCCTCTGGTCTCCTTTCCCAGCCCCTGTCCCTGAACATGACGTCAGCCCCACATGCCTATTTCAACAGGCCCTTCCTGCTCCTCCTCTGGGAGGTGACCACACAGAGTCTGCTCTTCCTGGGAAGAGTTGTCAACCCAGCTGCCATGTAACTGGTGCGAGGCCACGGGATGGCTACCCAGCCTGCACTGCAGGACCCCTGTAGAACAGGTTTTCTTTGGGGCCGTCAACCAGCTTCCAAATAAAGACACGGAAACTTAATACTAATTATGAGTGCTGGGCCTTGGTTTATGCTTGTCCCACTAGCTATTATAATGTAATTTAACCTGCTTCTCTTCATCTATGTTTTGCCTTGGGGTTTTTACCTTTCTTTCATTCTGTACGTCCCACTCCCCTGCTTACTCCGTGTCTGGCTGACTGGCCCTGGTGTCTTCCTCTCTTTCTGCCTGGTTCTCTTCCCCCTTTTCTTGCCTAATTCCTCTTCCTGCTTATTCTCTCTGGCCACACCTCTCCTTCTACTGCCTGGCTATTGGCTCTTCAGCTTTTCATTAGACCAATCAGATGCCTTAGGCAGGCAAAGCAACACATCTTTACATCATTAAGCAGATGCAGCCACAAACAAATGTAAAACATCTTTACATAGGTAAAGTAATATTCTGCAACACCCCTGAGCTGCAGTTCTAATAAATCTGAGTTTGGCTGTGTGAAGTCCCGTGAGCCATGCTTGCACGAGGGCAATGCCCAGAGCAGCTTCTAGTCATTCACTCCATGATCTTTGCAAATCCACCACCTCCACTGCAGATGTTTGCTGAGTAGCCTTAGGGCCAGGGACACAGGAAAAGACAACTAGGGCACACAGGGAATGGGAAAGCTTCTGTCTTCACAGCTGTCAGCCTGGGCTTAAGTCAGATGATGTCCTCCTGCAGTGTCACCTGGGGGAAGCTAGCTCTGGGAAAGGGGCTTCAAATCGTGTGCCATGAAGAAAAAAGGGCACGGAATGGACCAATTTCATCATCCATCTAACAGCATGAGAGGTTGAATTCAAAAGGCAGGAAAAGAGCCTCAGACTCAAGGGGTGCCCAAGGCTGAAGAGGATGGGGGTGGGATGTAGGGCAAAATCTCTCATCAGTGGGGTGAACTTGGGCTGTATTCATACATATATACACATGCATACATGTAATTTTAAATCCAGGCTCTGCGTGTAAGGGAAACACAGCATTTGTCTTTTAAGTCTAGCTAGCTCTCTTAACACAGTAATGAATTTCCAGTTCCATGCATTTTTTTCTGCAGATGTCATGGTTTCATTTTTCTTTATAGCTGCACAGAACTCCATTGAGAGACATACCACACCCTTTTCACCCATCCATCCGTTGGTGGCAGTCTAGGCTGGCTCCACTTCCCAGCTGTTGTGTGGAGAGTAGTGACAAACGCACGCACTGTCAGACAAACGTCTAAACCCAAGTCCTCAGTTCAGCTCTGAACAGCCAGACTGAGTATCAACACACGGCTTGGGTTACTGAGCATTAAATGATATCTCAGTAGCGAGAGCTGGGAGGTGCCTTGACTCCCACTTGGCCTGCAGGAAGATTCATGGGCGATGTTGCTGGTTTACTTCATGTTTGAGGGGAAAGGTGCTTATCAAAGTAACTGAACTGCCTCGGATAAGAGGAATTCTCTTTACTCTAGAGCAGTGGTTCTCACCCTTCCTGATGCTCTGCCCCTTTCATACAGTTCCTCATGTTGTGATGACCCCCAGCCATAAAATTACTTTCATTGCTACTTCATAACGGCATTTTGCTGTCGTTATGAATCATAATGTAAATATCTGATATGCAGGTGGCCCCCGTGAAAAGGTCGTTCAACCTGAAGGAGTCATGAATCACAGGTTGAGAACCAAATGGTCTACTTGCCTATTATCAAAGGCTCATACTGTCCCCTGCCGGTTATAAAGTGTCATGGCATCCCAGAATCTAGCTTTCTAGTTGGTGCACCCCTAGGTTAGTCCAACAGAGGATTTCTTGTAAGAGGGTAGAGTTGCCAAATATGATACAGATTGTCCCAGTAAGACTGAAATCTAGGCAAGCCAAATAATCCTTTTTATACTCTCTTTAATCTCCCCTTCTTTGTCCCCACTAGTCTCTCTCTCTCTCTCTCTCTCTCTCTCTCTCTCTCTCCTTCTCCCTCTCTCCCTCTCTCCCTCCCTTCTGCTTTTATTATGTCTATGATTTTAAATATATATATATATTTATATGATTTTAGGTATCTATAAAAATCCTAGGGCCCACAAATGAGAGAAAATATATTTAATGTATTTGTCTTTCTGAGTCTGGTCCTTTTTTTCAACTAAAATAGTAATAATCTCCATTTGTGCCCATTTTCTAGCAAATGACATCAATTCCCTGTTCTTTATTACTGACTGGCTAAAACTGCATTCTGTATGTCTGGTTATCTGTGGACAGGTACCTGAGCTGATTCCTCCACTTGGCCACTGTAAATAGTACAGTAAGCAAGAATCCTGTGGTATGTTGACTTACAGTCCTTCTAGAACATCCCCTATGTCAGTGTGCCACCATCCAGCTGCATTCTTCAAATTTTGACCCTATGAAAACTACTTCAAGAAGGACACAAGACAGCAGTGTCTCACGGGCATAGCAGCTACTCCACAGAGATGCCCCACAGCTGGAAGGGAAAAGAACTGCGTGATAATAGCCTGAGATCTTCAAATTCATTGTTCTCCGTTGTTTGTTGTATTGCTGTGTTCCATTGGTAGCTTGTGGGTTTCAGAGCGCCTGTGTAGACTTTGTCTCATTAAAAAGGTCTCTGCTGAGCCCACACAATATGAGTCCCATCCACTGAACTCTGAAGACACCACGTTCCCATAGCACTTACCTCAGCCATGTGCTGTTAGGAGTTTGTGCTGTGATTGGTGACTTTTCATAACGGAGTCTCTGAGCTCTGGGTAGGAAAGACAGCCGTATCATTAACTTCTGCCACTCTAGCAGCTAAGATATGGCAAACACTCTAGGTGACTACAGCGGAAAGAAGTGCGTTAAGGTGCAATGAGTCACAAAGCCATTGCAGCCGTGGATGGCAGAGGTCAAGGCTCCCAGCAGGCTGTGCATGCAAGCAAGCCTGTCCTGGTCATGCTACATCACTAGAGATGTTACGGCAGCAATCAGGGAATGGGTGTGGACAAGCACTAATCAATGGAAGGGAAGGAAGCCAGGGGACAGGAAAGCTGCAGGAACAGGCCTGGAGGAGGCAGTGTTAATGGTTTCAAAAGAGAGGGGTGATCTTGAAGAGGCTCCGTGCACTCCAAACCTGGACAGATCGTAGGCCAATGAATGGACACAAGGGACGTTGGGAAGAGCAAAGAGAAAGAGTGAAATTGCCCAGGGCTGAAGAAATCACAAGTTGCAACAAAGCAGTAGGATTCAACTGTTTGAATCAAGCAGGCAGGAAGAGAACACGTGGGCTCTGGGAAAGCCGCAGAGTAACACCAAGCTGCCCCCAGGCCTGCACAGGAAGGCCTTGCTGAGAGCCTCTGGCTGTGCAGGACCAAGACAGAAGGCTGGAGCTGGTGCTGGTAGCTGGCAGCAGGTCATTCAGGATGCTAAAGCGGGCCAGGGCTTCACAGTCTTCGCATGAAGAGTGCGTGAATCTGTCAGGAAGATGGCTCCCGGTCCTGATGTGGAGTGAATGTTTATACCCTGCCAGCAAAGCCCAAAAAGCCCTCACATGATAGCATCAGAAGGAAGGCCCTTTGGGGGTGATTAGATCATGAGAATGGAGCCTGGTGTCCATACAACCAGAGACACAAGAATTTGGTCTCTGCCTCTGCCTGCTGTGTTGAGGGTACCAGGGTGGGGCCCATCTGGGACCAGATCCATGGGCACCTTTGTCCCCAATTAGCTGTCTGGGGTCCTTTGCCTCTACCCTGACAGATAGACATCATGGGTAGGCAAGGAGAAGCTCAAGTGTTGGTCTGGCAGCTTTTAACCCCATACTCTACTCCCAAGCCTTTGTTGGCAATGGTAGACAGGCAGAAGTAGCAGACAGTGGCGCCCTCTAGTGTTGCAGTCTGCGCTGGCCTTGCGTTCCCGCGCCCTGGGCTCCAGGCGGCAGGCACGTTTCAGGGCTCAGTCTCGGGTGTGAAGTCTTGGCAGCTCTCTGGATTTCTTCTGATGACCAGGACCTGCTGAGTCTCTTTTTCTGGCTCTTTACAGTCCGTGCCCCCTTCTTCAGTGTCAGCCCTCCGCTCTTGCCATCTCGCTGTAATTCAGCTTCCCTTCCTCCTGACCCCTCCGCTCTCTGTCCTGCTGCTCCCTCAGCTGCCAGGCAGCTCGCGCCCACCATGGCCACTGCCCGGCTGTCTCTGCAGATTCAATCCTTGTGCTGCCAGCTCAGGCTGCACTCCTGGAAGCAGGAAGAAAAGATCACTGCAGAGAGATCTTTTATGAGGTCAAATGCTGCAAACCGGGGTGGCCAGTATAGGAGTGCCGTCACCCAGGATACTCACGAGAGAGCCCGAACAGCCTGTGTGCACACCAGGATGAACTGTTAGAAGTCACAATCGTTGAGAAGCTGTGTTCTGAACCAATCAAAACCCTCCCTCTGAAGGCCAGTTTTGGACCAGTGGCTCTTACCTCCTGTCTCCAGTTATGGAAATCCCAGAGGGGGTGTTGGGACACCTGTGGCCAAGACAGAGATGGTTACAAGGCATTAAGTGGAGTGTGTGTGGGGGGAGGTGTTGGGGAGATACAGTTAAGAACTGTGTTTTCAACCAGCTCTAGCTGGATGGAGCTACTCCTTCGCAAGCCAGAGAACTCAACTTCCTTCTGCTTGTGTAGAGCTGTCTCGAGGACAGTGTAGAATGTTCAGGAAGGTCAGTACAAATGCAAGGGTTGGCCAGCTAGCAGTCAGACAGGCAGTTCTTTGCTCAAGGAGTCCAGGGCAGCAAAGATCAGCTCAACAGCTGCCAATTAGGAAATCAGGTTGCTTCATCCGTGCTTGTCTGCTTGCGTACGGGAAAACAGACATCAAAAGGAGTGCTGACACCGTACAACCAGAGAGCTTGTCATTAACACTAATAGTGATTTTCACAGATTTTAACAGTGCCCGGTGCCCCGGGGAGAGGTGGCCTCTCACCCACTCACCTTTATCTGGAAACCGCCCAGCCCCAGAACCATGAGCAATGAATGTGTGATGTCTCAGCTCAGCTATTACACCAATCATCCATCTGAGCAGCCAATCTCTGGACTGTCAGG